TGCAGGCAGAACCCTGGAAAGTGCCTGGGTTTTGGGGCTTGTCCCCCCTTGCTGCTTGAGATCGCCGTGTAAAGAAACCAGGGCTACCCTCCTAGGATGAGTGACCACACCATCCTAGACCTTGCAGCCTTCTCAGCTGAGCCACCAGACATGTGAGTGAGGCCATCTTAGACCACTTAGCCCCAAATGAGCAAGAAAAACCACCCAACCAATCCACAAAATCAGAGAAATAAAACATGGCTGTTTTAAGCCACTACGCAGTAGGGTGCTTCATTACACAGCCAAAGCTAACTGATACACTGGGCTCCCCACCACTGTAGCCTCTGCTTGTCATGTCCCCTTGTCAGAGTCTCTTATCTTAGTGACCTCTCTTGACCCTCATTCTTCTAGGGCTCTGTCTTGCTCTGCGAGCTCTCTCACCTCAGCCTCACCATAGGACTGGAGTCCTTCCTGTGAACTCCAGTCCGATGGCCAAAACTACATTATAACAACTCTTTATGGCTTAAAAAGACTTCCACATCCATGACCTCCCCCTCTTCCTACCATAACTCTGCGAGATAGGCATCATTATCCCTACTGCTCAGAAGAAATAACTCAAACTCAGAGAGGTTGTCAGACATGCTGAAGTCACATAGCCTGTCAGTGAATCTTCTGACTGCAAATCCTGTGTTCCTTCTCCTCCATCCCATGTGGATTAGTTCCCAGGCCTTGCAGCTGGCAGATGTCCCCACTGGTGACACTTTGCCTGAATTTCTGAATGTCACCTGCCTAGGATTCCTCACTTTGGCCTTGCTTGTTGTTAGAACACCTGCTGCTGGATCCATGTCAGCTCTCCCAGATGCCACCCACCTGCCGGAGCTGCCACCTGCTGTCTGCAGCCAACTCCCTGGATTTATGACCTGCCTTCCAGATTTGACTTCCCTCCAGAGCCTTTAATTCTCTGAATTAGTCCCCTCAGGCCCTGCCCCTCCCTAGTCCCAGATTTACCCAGCCCGGCCCCTCCCACACTGTCTGTCATGTCCCTGGAGAGGAGAGTCAAGCCCACTCCACAAGGCTGAGGGAAGGAGGTTGACAGCCACAAGCAGTTCCAACTTGATTCCTTTCCTGAGGGTTTCTGGGCCACTCCGCCAGGAGAACCAAGTTTTTGCAGCTGGATCTTTGACCAAAATACATTGTCTATTAGGTTAGAAATTTATCTGTGTAGACGTAATCATTAACATTGGTGAGAAGGAGTAAGAAGTGGGTCCTGCTGTCCAAAGCAAGTCACATGGTCAAGCCCAGATTGAAGAGTGGAGAGAGCAACTCTACCACTGATGAGAGGGTGGCAAAGTCCCATTGCAGTGTCACACACACAGGGATGAGAGGGATGTTTACTGAGCTCAGACAGGCCTTCATGGAGATTCACTTCCTGCTTGTTTCACAACTAGATGGAGAGAAGAAGTCACTGGGGTCCCTTAGCCCACGAGCCTCTTTTTGGGGGTCTCAGAGTTGAAGAAATGTCCACACCACCTTCTACTGTGCTTTATGCATCTGGAATCATACTAGGAATTTCTTGAGAGGAAATTCTGACCAGCTATCCCCAAGAACATTTCTGGAGAAGGGAGTTTATTCACGGTCTCATACAGCACATGGAAAGTTCTCAATTAGGCTGAACTGTGAGGTCCCAGGACTGGGACAACGCAGGGCTCAGTGAGAAGATGAGACTTGGGCTCCATCGAGAGAAGAACAAACTATCTGATAGTTCATTGCCGTGGCCCTAGCACTGTGCCTGGCACTTGGTAAGCACGCAATAGATGTTTGTTGAATAGATGATGGATAACTAAATGACTGAGTGACTGAGTGAACAGCAGAGCCATCCAGCCAGCAGTCCCACCATTGGAGAGCTGTCAAATGGATTAGACAAAGCCACCAGAGAGGAATGCTATCGAGGGGAATCACGCTGTGGAGGGGGCTGGCTAGAGGACCTTCTAACCCTGAGATTCTGCCATCCCGAGAGCCCCTACTTACTTCACTGGCTGTCTCACTAGAGAAGCAATGGCTAAAGTGACTCAGAGACAATGTGGTCTAATAAATCCAACTCTGAAAACAGCTTTGGAAGGTTACAGATGATGAGGTTCAAAATGCACATATTCAGCAATTCCACTGCCAAGTGACCACCCTGGAGAAGCTCTTACACACGTGCAGAAGCAGATGGCTAGGAGGATGTTCCTGCAGCATTGTCCCTAACAGAGGCAAGTCAACAACAGCATACCTGTCTCTCAGCACGGGAACCAATCAACAAAGACCCTGGGCTCTGTTCATATACTGGAATTCCACACAACAGTTACAATGAATCTATCTATATCCACATCTACGTCTATTCTTATGTCCATTCCTATATCCATTCCTATACTCCGTATATGAACTACAAACCTCAAAAACCTAAGCAGCTCACACTATCATTCCATTATGTAAAGTTTAAAAACATATATACAGGGGCATATTGTTTACATCAAGTACATATGTAGGCAAGACATGCAAACATTGAGGGGTATGACATCATCAACCTCCAGCCAGTGGTTACCTGTTGGGAGCGAAAGCAGGGGAGGAAAAGGGGGGAGGCACTGGCTGTAGCACACTTTTTATTTCTTAAAAAGGAAGAGCCAGAACTAAAGCAGATAAGGCCAGCGTTCCCATCTTGGAGGTGGGCACTCAGAGGTCTGTTATGTTATTTCCTACGCTCTCTGGTATTCATTCACTCAACAAATATTCAGTGAGCAGCCACTACGTCCCAGGCACTGTTCTAGGCTCTGGGGACACAGCAGGGATCCCAACTGACATCCCTGCCCTCGTGGAGCTCCCATTCTCTCTGTTTGAGACATGCATAATTCCTTGTTTTTATTTTTAATACATGAATACAATATTGACCACTGAATGAACAGCAACCTGCCTTTCTCTAATCTGCTTAGTTTTCTCCTCCCCAGAACCGCCCACTATTGACCCTCTCAGACCTTTCACCTTCCATCCTTAACAACCTCCCCAGATCTTTATACCCACTCCACAGATGACAACGTGACCAGGCTGTGTCCCCTGCGGCAGCTCTCTCCCTCCAGTGGGGCCTGGTCTCCCTCCACACCCCATGCCAGGGCCGGCCACAGCTGTCCTGTGACAGAATCCCCACCCCAACCTGGCTGTACCACCCTCTCCCTCCCCACATCACTGTCATTGCCGACTTCCTGGTCACCCCCACCACCATTCACTGAAGACCCTGGGACTGCCTCAGTCTTCTCCCCACCCCAACACTTGCCATAACCCTAGATTCCAATGCCATCCCACATCTGAGCCTTCCATTCTGGACCACTTTAACATCAATGACCTGACCATCCACTGCAGCCACACCCTAGATTGTCGTGTCATCCCCCAGAATGTCCTCCTTGGAAATCTTTCACCTCCCACCTCTCTCTCTCTGATTTCGGCTGCCTTCTCTTCCAGCTACACACTCTCTCTCCAAACACTGCGACCTCACAGAGCCCCCAGGCCTGCGCCTCCATCCCCTCCCTGCCTCTCCATCTCCTCCTGGTCCCTCTCTCCCCTCCCAGCCTGGGCTCGAGGTGATGCTCTCAGCCACTCTCACCTTCGCCTTCACACTGTTCCCTGCACCTCAGCCTCCCACAGCTCCCGTCCAGCACAAGCTCTGGACCAAAGCTACCCCTGTCAGCTCCGCATCTCTGGACTGAGTCACCCTCACCCTGGGAAATCGGGCACCTGCCACAGAGACTCTGGGGCCCTGGCTTTGGTGGGGTCCCTCTCTCCTCCTCTTCAGCAATTAGTCAAACCCTCACTTCCAAATCCACCCCCACCTCCTGATGGCTAATTCCCAGCAGATGACTGCCTCACCTCCCCTGAGAAATTTGAGCAATTAGGCATGATTCCGTGGACTCCCAGCCTTGCCTCCAACACAGCTATGCACACCATTCTCACCTCCTCTCCTCCTCCTCTGTGGAGGGGTCCACCCCCTCCCCTCACCATCCTGGCTTCTTCTCTCAGTTGAAGGCAGCCTCAGCCTCACACTTCCCCAGGCAGAATCCAGGGGCCTTGCTCCCCCACGCCTCACCTTCCACACCCCAACACCAAGTACTGCTGATTAACTCCTGAAAGCCCTGTTACCACAGGTCTAGTTCAGAGCCATTCCCAACTCCGGTCTCTCCAGCTCTAGCCATGACCCTCCATCTATCCTCCACGTGCTGCCAGACGGGTGCACCTAAAATGTCCACGTGCCGTCATCATACCCCTGCTTAAAACCCACGAAAGGCTCCGTGTCGCTCACAGGACGAGGCCCAAGCGCCCAGTGCCCTCCACACCTGCCAACATCTCCGCAGCTCACGCTCTCTGCCTCGCCCTGCAGCTCCAGCCTCACACCGACACTTACAGTCTCTGTGTACTTCCAGCTCTTTCTCACCTCTGTTTCTGCTCAAGCTCTTCCTGTGGCCCAGAATCCCCTCCCCCTCCTCCTCATTCCTCAAGACTCAGCTCAAGTGGCCCTTCCTCCAGGAAGCCTTCCCCACCCACCCCAGGCTGGGTTGGGCATCTGCCCTTTATGTTTCCAAAATGCCTAGTGCATCTGCCTCTATCAAATGGTTTTATAACTTTCTCTTTTAGCGAGTCTTTTCCCCACCTGATGCATGGCAGGTGACCTTGAAAAGACAGCTGCACAAAATGCTGAACGGCAGAGGGACAGGCAGGATGAACTCTGGCGATTCCGACGCACAGGCAGGCTCACCCCCACCACTCACACTCTCCACAAGCTGGCAGCCACCCAACAGCCACCCACATGGCCGCGTCCACACACCCACCAGCCAGGCGTGGAGGCAGCCCCCCACCTGCAGTCGCTCCGATTCATCACCTGGCCATGAGTGTTTGTGCATACCCCCCTCCAGCGGTCTCCTGCGGCTAACACCCCATCCCCCAGTGAGCCTCCCCAGACACAGCGCCCTTGTGCCTACCTCCCTGGAACACTATACCTTGGCCAGGGATCTTACTATGGGACTTTCCATAATCCCTCGAAGGAATATCAGGTCCAGTTCTGCAGCGCCTGTGGCGTTGGGGAGGGATCCCAGGTTGTCCAGGACTTGCTGCATGGCTGGGGGCAAGGGGCAGGCAGTGAGACACACAGGTGCCAGCTGGTCACAGGAGACCAAAACACACCACAGCAACCCCACCCCTCCCACCCCACATCCCACAGAAGACAGCCCCTCCCCAGCAGCACTTCCCTCCCTGCCAGGCATGGGAAGGCCTGGGGCAGGGGCCCGGGGGAGGGGGGAAGGGGCAGTTTCCTTGGCCTGTTCTCTAGGCCTTAGGTAATGCCAGCCTGGGCAGGTGGGAGGCTCCAGGCAGCAGGAAGTAGACTCTGAGGTGGAGGGAGGGGAGAAAAGGAAGCAGATATCAGGTTCTAGGTTCTGCCCTGAACCAGAAAACCACAGGTGCCTCACTCAGTCTCTGGATGGACTGAGCCACCTGCACCTGGCGGGCTCACGGATGACAGACACAGTGCTTGGAGCATGTCCCTGAGTGCAGGCCTAGAGTCAAGCAGGCAGCCATGCAGGAAGCCAGGGCTACCCAGCATCCGGTACCAGCTGCACCATTAATCCAGTGTAATTTTGCACAAATCACTGTCCCTCACTGGCCTCAGTCTTTCCCTCCTGTAAAATGGGTAGGTTGGGCCAGATGGTGTCTACAGGCCCTTCAGTTATGACAGACAATGATCTATAATCATTGAGAAATTAATATGGATCGTAGGAAGCCAAAGCTGAGGCCTGGAACATTGGCAGAAGCTGGGGAAACAGGCCCCCCGGGGCTTGGGATGGCTGTGGGTACCCAAGGGCAGTGGTCAGACCAAGTCATCTCAGGTTTCGGCAAATCCTCAGCCTGGAACAGGACACAACCAAGGACATGAAAACACCTGATGCTGGGCCACAGCACTGGCTGCTGAGATCTGAAGTGGGGGTTGTCTTCACCCACCAGCAGAGGTGGGAGCTCCTGGCTGTGGCAGGTTCTGAGAGAAGGAAGGGAGAAGCAGAGTGTGCCCAGCTGGCGGCAGAGATGGGCAGGGGGTATCATTACTCTGCCACTCTGCCACCCACGCCTACATCGGCATAACAGCACCCAAGCCATGGAGGAGGGGGGTGCATACGGTGCCTGGTACCCCTCCTCCTCCCCACCTTCTCCAGAAACAACATCCAAACTGCCCTCCAGACCCCTCCTGCCCAGGCCTGGGCTTGGCATCGGTCAGAGAATGCAAGGCCCTTAGTGGGCTCAGAAAAAGGCCAGGGCAGGGACTCTTCCCACTCTGCCAGAGTATCCCGGGGTCCACCCTCCCCAGTCATCCTTACACACAGACTCCCCAGCCTGCTGGCCATGGGGGAAGACTGGTGCCCTCTGCCCAGGCCAGCACTCCAGGTGGGCCGTCACCCTAGACCCTAGGCTCTTGGGAGCCCGCTCCTAGGGCACCCTCTCCAGACTCCCGCAACCCCCAGCTTTCCCCCCAGCCTCCCCTCCCGGCCTTCCCCTACCTTCCCTCCGGAGCTCGGCTTCCTCAGAGGAGCCCAGGGATATGCCCTCCAAGGAGGCCCTGCTGCCTGGGCTGCCCGCCATGGCCTCCCCCCACCGGCCCGTGGCTCCGGGAGTAGCCTCCACGCCACTGTCGGCGCCTTCCCAGCCAGAGGGGGCTGCGCTGGAGGAGGCGGGACTCGGGGAGCGCCCTCTGCAGGATCAGCCAATAGTAAGGCTCAGCTGCCCTGACCACCTTGCTGATTGGCCAAAACTCCAACAGGAGCAGACAGGTCGGGAGGGGGCAATGGGAAAGAGAGAAGCCTCGTCCTACCCACTGCCTGACCCCAGCGGCGGCGCGAAAACCAAGGGGGTGGGGACTCGGCCCCATCTTGTTCCCGCCCCCCTTTCCTGGAAGTCCCTCCTCAAATACACCCCATGCCACCTCCTCCTCGTGCCCTGCGACCTCTATTCTACGTCCCCTGTCCAGGCCCCTTTACAATGGCCCCCTCAGGATCAAAGGAAGCCCCCCAAAATGACTCTCAGTCCTCCGCCAGGACCTGTCGCACCACTGTGGTGTGGGGCAAATACCTCAGCCCCAAATGCCTGCCCCCAGCTGCCAGCCATGGGGGGCAAGGAGGGGGCAGGGAGGAAAAGGAGGGGGATAGCACCACTGTGGGCAGGGAAGGGTACCTCAAGCCCTTCCGACCCCACATCTCAGCAGCAGCTTCTCCCCCTCCTCCATCTCCCATTAGCTCTCCCCCTTAGGTAGGGGGGACACACGCCCCATAGGCAAGTCAGGCATCTTGGAATTGGAGAAGGAAAAAGGTGAGGGCACGTTCACGGAGGAGGGAAGAGGGTGGGCAGGAGGGGGGGACTTGGCAGTTACACCAGCCCAGAACCTCCATTCCTCTGAGACTTTGTACCCATGAGGCCACCAGACAGCCATTCCCTGAGGATTGGCACCAGGTTGCCAAGGCAGCAGGGGGGGATTACACACCAGGACTTTAACCCTGGGATGTGAGAGAGATTTAAAGGGACAGCTCCACCCAAAAGCAGCCTCAATTCAAAGAAAGGAGGGAGTCTGGTAAAGAGGGGAAGAGAGGGAAAGGCTGCAGTTCTGGAGACTCCAGGGGCAAGTTCTCTAAACTCTCATTGTTTAGACAACATGCCATTGCCCATATATCTCCAACCCACTCCCAACCCTCAGGAAAAGGGCCTCTCCACCTTACTAGAAATAGAGTTAGGGTTTCTCTGCAAGAGGAACACACCCACCCATTTTCCTCCCTCCACAATGACAATGACCATGTTGACCAGTGGGGAAGGGTGGGAAAAGGACCTTGCTAGCTTCACTCTCTGCAGGGCCCAAGGCGGGGATCTCTGGGGGAAGGGGGAGGTGAACCTGACCTCAGAGGCCGGGGTGCAGCTGTCTATGAGAAGTGTGATGACCACCAAATGGTCTAACCCACCATTAGATATTTGAGGCCAGGAGCCAGTCCAGCCCAGAGTGAGCACAGAGGGCTGCCTGAGGGAGAGGCTACGAAACTCATAGCCTGTGCGTCTCACATCACCTCTTTACAGAAGAGGAAACACAGGCTCCAAGAGGTTACACAGTTTGCTCCTGTCCTTCTTCCTTTGGATATAGGAAGGCAGAAGCAGCCCACGGCACAACATGAGGGGAGCAGGGGCCCCAGGAGTCCTCAGAGGAAGCAGGCCCCATACCCACACCCCTGGGCTCCACTCCCTGCCCTGTCCCCCACCCCACACCACCACACCCCCATCAAGTGGTCTGTAGCAGGGAAGCCACATTGCTGGGCCTTCTCACCCCTGCCGGGCACTATTAATGGGTTTACTGGACAGCCCCAGATTGATAGGCCTTTAATCACCGGCTCAAGGATGGGCTTGATTAACCCCTAAGCAGCTTACAGTGGGGCCCAGGCAGGCTAGATCAGGGGGAGCGCCCAGGGGGCCCAGCAGGCTGGACAGGAGGTGGAAGCACTGAGCCCTCCCAGGCTGCAGAAGCTGAGGGACATTGGCACAGTCACTCCACCACCCGGAGAAGAGGCCGGGGAAGGGAGGAACGGGGCGGGGGGCGGGGGGGGGGCACGGACAAAGGTGTCACAGTTTAGGCTCTGGCTTACTCACAGCAGCCTTCACTTTCCTGGTTCAGTTTCTCAAAGGGGAGGGACAGGGGAGTCATTCTAACCAGACTGGGAGGCCTGGAACATCTTGCAGAGGCAGCAGCAGGGCCTAGAGTGCGGGGAGGAGCTGCAGGGGCGGGAAGCATCCAGGCAGGGGAAATTCACATACATCAGAGCAAAACCAGAGCAGTTCCCAGCTGTTAGCAGGACGCTGAGCGAGCCTCTAGCACAGGGAATTCCCCTAGTGGATCTCTGAACGCACTTAAGGGGGTCCATGAACCCTTGGAGTGGAATGCATATTTTGTGCAGAGAAGCATTTGTCTCTGATGAGGGCCTGTCACTGACATCAGATTCTCAAAGGATCCAAGACCAATAAAAGTTAAGAACACTAATCTTGGGCCGGCCCGGTGGCTTAGCAGTTAAGTGCGCGTGCTCCACTACTGGCGACCCGGGTTCGGATCCTGGGCGCGCACCGACGCACCGCTTCTCCAGCCATGCTGAGGCCGCGTCCCACATACAGCAACTAGAAGGATGTGCAACTATGACATACAACTATCTACTGGGGCTTTGGGCAAAAAAAAAAAAGGAGGAGGATTGGCAAGAGATGTTAGCTCAGAGCCGGTCTTCCTCAGCAAAAAGAGGAGGATTAGCACGGATGTTAGCTCAGGGCTGATCTTCCTCACACACACACAAAAAAAACACTAATCTTGTCCCATCCCCTCATCTTACAGATGGGGAAACCTAGGTCCTAAAAGGGAGGTGACTGACTCAAGGTCACAGGTTAATGAGGTAACAGTAACTCAGCAGCACAGCATAACAACTGTGAATATTCCTAACTACTGTGTTGTTCCCTGTCATCGACTTTGAGTTTCACCTCAACCTCTTTACAGAAGAGGAGAAGCAGGCTCCAAGAGGTTAAGTAATTTGCTCCTGAGGCCTAAAACCTCCTCAGAACCAAGTCAAGGCTTCCCCACCTGGCATTCTCCATGCACAGCTTCCTGTGCCCCAGCACACACACGCCCACATCTCTAGTTTATGCTGGTCTACTCCACCCATCTGGTGGGCACTGCTCCATCACCTTCGCAGCCCCAGGCTGTGCTGCTGCAGTCCCTTCACCCCCAAGCCACCCTCCAAGGCCCAGCTCCTGGAGGTCCCTTCTCTAACCAGCCTGGCCCCATGCCGTTCCCTCCAGCAACAATGTGGATCATCTCTGGAGCATGCATCCCCCTGCCCTCCACGGAGGAGAGTTGTGCTGTGTCTCCAGCCCCACCTTGGGGCAGATGAAGCAGGGTCAAAGAAGCTGCCTGAATGATTGGCTGAGTGGCTGGGTAAAGCAGGGGTGGGGGGCAGTTCCTTCTCACAGGAAGCTGCGGGAGTGCCTGACTGTTGCTCCCCACCCTCGAGTCCTTGCCTGGCACCCTTGGAACCACTGACACCAACGACAGCCTCACCCCCTTCTTACCAGTCTCAGAGTTGGTGGCAGCCACTGGCATGGTGAGGTCGGCAAGGGCTCTGAAATGTCTCTCCTGGAGGAGAGGAGAGAGGAGGATGAGAAGGCTCAAGGGCAAAGCAATGGGGAAGGGGCCTCCCCTTCAGGATCAGCTAACAAGGGAAGGGAGAGGGAATTGCCCAGAAACTGGATGATCCCACGGTCCTCGGAGGCAGGAAGAGCAGATATTACATGCCCATTTCTCCAAGGAGGAAGAGACAGAGGATTAGAGAGGTTAATTGATTTGCCCAAGGTCATAAAGCTAATAAAGAGACCTACAATGAAAACCCAGGTTTTATGACTCTTAAAAAAAAAGTGTTGGGGGGCTGGCCCAGTGGCATAGTGATTAAGTTTGCATGCTGCGCTTCGGTGGCCCAGGGTTCGCGGCTTTGGATCCTGGGCGTGGACCTAAACACCACTCATCAAGCCATGCTGTGGCAGCATCCCACATACAAAAAATAGAGGAAGATTGGCATGGGTGTTAGCTCAGGGCCAATCTGCCTCACCAAAAAAAAAAAAAAAAGTGTTTCTGCCTGTCACATCTTTTTCTTTTTCTTTTCTTTTTTTTTTTTTTTTGAGAGGGGGTGGGTAAGAGTCCAGAATTTGAGTCAAAAGCAGGAAAGATGGGTGTTTCCAGACTGTAAGCTCCATGAGGTCAAGAACCACATCTGTTTTATTTGCCTCTGGATCCTAGGCCTAGCACAGTGTAGATGCTCCACAAACATCTGTCCAATTGGCTGCCAGAAATGATGTCGCACCTCCCCCAGGCCTCTCTGTCTTCCTCATTCTCCCCTTGCCCCTTCTTAGCCCAGAGCTGGGACAAGGAGAGCAGGGGGCTCTGGGCAGAGCCAGCCATGGAGTTTACAGCCCCAGTTCCCACCCCAGGGCCTCCCCAAGCTGGGGTTGGCTCCCTCATTCTCCAGGGGAGGGTGCAGGAGGGTAACCCACAACCCTTCCTCCATTTGCCTTCCTAGGCATTGCTGTTGGAGAAAACCCTAATTCCCAGTTGCCATAACAACAGGAGGTAGTGGCTCACAGCAGGGGTGGGGGAGTGGAGGGAAGCAGCTGGCAGTGCCCACTTTAGGACTGAATGCCTGCTGGGCCCTGGAGGTGGGGGAGCCGCAACTTCATCTCCCCCCAAAAAAGGATTCTTTCTAGAGGGACCACTACATGATTTTAATAAAACCCTCTCGACTCCCATCCCCCTCTCAGGCCTAAGCTGGTCACTTGAGTTCAGGTAGCAGAAATTATAAAGGTGAGGGGACAACTCCCCTTCCTCCTGGATCTGCCCCTGAGGACATGAAAGAAAGGAGCTCTCAGGGAGAGGAAGGGCACCCCCTGTCAGGCAGGCACCCAGGCTGGGAGAAATGCCCAGCATCCACTGTGCCAGCTAGTGCTGCCAGTGCCAACGTCTGCTGTCCCTATTCCTAGACAGCTGCCAGGAAGGAATCCTTCCTTCCCCATCCCAGGTCCTGACGACCTGGAACCTGGAGCCCTCTCCTGGCTACTAGCTCTGCTGTCCCTGACAGAGGTACTGGCAGTCAGAGGGGACTTTGGACGCCCTTCTTCTCTAGAGGGTGGAGGGTGGGAAGAAGCAGGCAGGATCCTGTCCCCAGAAGTCTCACCCAGCCTGCCCAGGTTTTCTCCCTGGGGAGTCGGTTCCCACAGCATGGCATCAGCTAGCTCTGCCCCACCGCCACCCAAGCCTCTGAGAGGGCGGGGCCTGGCTGTGCCCACAGGAGAACAGCAGTGCCAGGCAAGCCAGCCTGGCTCCGTGCCAAGGTCAGGGGCCCAGGCATCTGGGAACCGGCACCTCGGCCCCGCACCTCGGCTTCCAAAAGCCTGGGCTCAGGTGCCCTTTCACCCCTACCTCCAGACTATCCACATCATCCAGGGTTGGTAGATGATGCGGGCCAGCCATGAAAGGGGGAGGTTTCCTCCAACCTCTCACCCACCCCTCCATCAATACACATACAAAGAGATGTAGAGGAGAAAGGTCTGACAAAGGCGCTTTGAAGACCGACAGCTCGTGGGGAGGGGTAGCCACACTGAGGGCCAAAGGATGGGGGTCTAGAGGCCAGGCGAGCCTGCACGCACTGACAATCAGATCGCCCCCGCCCCAGAAGCCCAGCCCTAACACGCTGGGCGCTAGGACCTGGGGGGAGGGGGGCGTTCTGTGAGCCATCAAAGAAGGCTCATTGCGTGCGCGCCCGCGGGAGACCAGGGGATGAGGTCACTGAACAGCTGTCCTCCCGCCCCCATCCCCACTCTCCCCCCTTAGTTGACCTAACTTTCTGACCCTGGCGCCTCGCTCCTGGCACTGATCCCCTCCCAGGTCTCCAGGCACTAACTCTGGCCCCCGACCCCGACCCGCCCTCTCTACAGCCTGGGAGGCGGGAGAAGGAGCGCACCTCTTCCCAGGACGCCCTCCCAGGCAAGACTGAGGTGTTGGCCTCCCAAGGGAACCGGAGGGCCACGGGAATCCATGCAACCTCTGTCTCGCGCCCCCACCCCCCGGAAGCGCAAACAGCGCGGTTCTTACGTAATGCCCGGCTCCAAAGTCCCCCGAATCCACACAGCCCCTGGAGAGGCCGGGCGGGTACCCAGGCCCCGCACGGCTTACCAGCTCTGTGCCCTCGTCATTTTGGAGCCCTCACCGCGGGGGCAGGGGCCAGCGTCAATGGGCAGCGGGGTTTGGTCTCTAAGAGCACGAGAAGGGAGGGGCGGGAAGGGGAGAGGGAGGGGACCGCCCTGGGGGAAGGAGCCCGGGGAGATTGGACCCAGAGAATAGGGGCCCAAGTGCCGTGCCAGGACGAAGAGGAAACAGGGGCCCTGGGGTGGGTGCTGGACTGGGGGCGCCTACCTGCGCCCGGGGAAGCCCCTAGCTCTCGGCGGCTCCGGCGCAGCCTGGCGCTCCGCGTTTATTGCTTGTCAATCGCTACCCGGCTCTTAAAGCGGAGAGGCCTCCTCTGCGCGAGGGGGCGGAGACCGAGAGGGGAGAGAAAGGGAGGGGGATGTGGACGCCGCGGGACAATCCGGAGGAAAGTAGTCTTTTGAAACAGCTAGTGAGTAGGCAGGGAGGTGGCGGTTTGGGAGACACCGCACAGCCCACGACCCCTGCTCGCTTCCCCCTGACCGGGACCTCTACCCAATAGTGTCCCTCGGCGCTCAGAGATCCCTTAAAAGGGCGATGGTGAAAGATTACTCCGCCCTCTCCTCTCAGCTTAGATTTGCGTTCCAGTTGCAGGCATGCCTCACCTTCCCTCGTTATCCTGCTTCCCAACTGGGAAGGGGATCAGAGGAGTTTAGGGAGACCCCCAAGGAGCAGGAGACCCACCCTCATAGAGCTTCCGGCTCACGGGCAGCTTTTAAGGACTCGAATGGTGGATCCCTGGATCCCAGACTCTCCAGAAGAATTTGCAAAAAAGAGCAAACGTCTTCGTGAAGGAGTTCGAGATCCTATATTAAGCCTGCATGGAGGAGTTGCTCCATACCCCTATCTATGGAATGCAGAAAGAAGTAACTCTCTATCCTTCCTCAGAGTCCTATCTCAAGAAGTTAATAAAGCGTTAAACCCAGTTGCCCGCCTTTGCCCAGCCTCCGGCTCCACCCCAGACCTGCTAGTAAAAGATATTGTATGGCCTCGGAATACTGGAGGATCAGCCCGCAGACCACCCTTAGCTCAGTGCGCCGCGCATTTGGCGCCAGCCGCAGTACTACTCCGGCCTCGGTGTCCCCCCACCCCCCACCTGCTGTTGCCCTCTGGAGTGAGCAGAGGTTATCCCTCTTCCTTACTAGCTGGGCGCCTAAGATCAGAAATAGACTGCATCTTGGAAACTTGCTTGGAAATCTCAGAAAAGGGTTTGATTTGGGAATTCTTCCCGGTAGCAGGGGACTGGTCCCCGGGTCCCAGGATACTCAGCTCGCCCCTGACCTCCGGAGGGAATAGATTTGGGTATAGGTATAGAGAAGAAGCCACAGGACCAGGCCAAACTACTGAAAGCCCGGATGTATCGGTGCCCTCCGCCCTTACTGAGGGAGGAGAAGATGGTTAACGACCCCAGATGGCGGGGACTGGAATTGCAGGTTTCGGTCTCCAACCAAAGAGGCTTCCTGGAGCGCACTGCTTCCAACCCTCTTCTCTGCCTTCAAGCCGGAAGATCCTCCTGATTCAACTCAGGAAGAAGTCCCCTTCCCATTATGAAGGCTACCCTCCACTCTCACCTGTCCACCTCTGGGCGGGGAATCACTCAGCTATTTGCATCTGGTTAGGAAGTGGAAGGATCTTGGATCCCTCCAAAATGTTAATTACTTCTCAATCAGGCAACTCAATCAGGCAACCCCATAACAACCCACAGCAAACCTTCAATTCCATTCAGGATCCCCACGACAAGGTGGGATCCCAGATTCTGGCCCAGAGGTGGAGGTGGAGCCCAATTCATTATTCTTACAAGCTGCCTGCCCACATTAATCAGTCAGCAAGCGTGTCTCTAGTAAGCGCCTTATAGAATGCCAGCCTGTCACATCTGTTCAGGACCTTACAACTGATAAATTGTTCGATTCTTTACAGCAGCCTCATGAGGTTACGGAGTAGGGAGAAACATTTCTTAATGCAGAGCAGGATGCTCCTGTTCTGTTCCAGACAAGGTGCCAGCTTCAGTGATACTGAGTCGATATTAGCTTCGGTGCCAGCTTCAGTGATTCCTGGTCCCTGGGAGCTCACAGTCTGGAGTGGAGGTCGGGAAAGGGGTTGTCAGACACAAAAAGCACTTTCTGATGGTATAATCGAACCTTATGGCAGAGGTGCAGTAAGTGTTCTAAGCTGGGCCCCAAGGGAATGCAGGTGCTACTGGTGGGAAATAGAGTAGCCGGGAAGGGCAGCAGGTTTGAGGGGTCCACAATGCTTCCCATGGCAGTTGGGGGCTGCCCCTTCTGCCGGGGGACACGAGGAAGTATGGGAGGGGAGTCCTCCCCCTCTGGGGTCTATAATTAGCTCCAGCTTCCTCCCTGCCTCCGCCCCAGAGGTCACGAGGGTGCAGGCGGTGTCACTGCTTACTCTGAAATCAAAGTTCCCTTGTGGTGGATGTTTGTCCTAGGGCTTTGGGAGTCAGGGCACCGAGGGAAATAAAACTCAGAGCGGTGTTCCGAATTTCCAGCGGGTCCGGCGCTATATTGAGTGATGCTGCACTTCCGGTAATGCCCAGCAGGGGCCGCCAACAGCTCTCCCGAGTCTTTCTTCTGTACATCCACCCCCTCCGATTCCTCGCCCCAACCCTGCAACTCGCCAGAGTCTTGTTCTGGAAACCTTTCCTACTGGCTATATGTCTCAGTAAAAAAAGGTTTGGAACCCTCAGTGCATATATATATATTTATACATACTTATATTTACATTTATATATTATTATATCTATGCTGTTGAACTAATACGTACATTTATAAAAGGAAATTTTTAAATGATTATTTTTTAAACTATAAATAGAAGTTCCAATATTTTCTTACACCTCAAAGAATCATCTTGTGCACCTCTAGGTGCATGCCCTCGTTGGAAACCACATTTCTACAGAAAAAGCTGCATCCCCACCCTCCCCAGTCCCAGCCTCAACAGGGCATCCAGACAGGGAACGTTGCCTCCCCTCCAGGACCAAGCCAAACCCTCCCTGGAGGACCAAGTGTGCTGACCCCGTGCTTCTCTCACAACTCTCAAGACCCTGAAACCCCCTCCACCACCACCACCACCAGCCTGCCCCACACCCACATCAGATTGCCTGTCTGGAAGATAGAGACCCAAAACCTCTCCCGGACACAGCCTCTTTGCCCTCCTGCCCCCACCTACCCCTGGCCTAACACTCATACCTCACCCTGGCTCCTTGCTTTACTGGGCCACAACCCCATGGGGTGGCAAGTTCTGGAACTAGACAGTTCTGTATTGAAATACTGGCTCAGCCAAACGGTGTGTGTGTCCTAGGCCAGTTACTTAACCTCTCTGAGCCTCAATTTCTTCATTGTACAATGGGGATAACAGCCTCCACCTTGGGAGACAACAGATGTAGAGTGGCTGCCACAGTGCCAGGCACACAGAAGGTGCTCCATAAATGTGGTTCCCTTCTGGGAGTAGGTCTGAACAGGTGCTAGCTAGGTGCCAACTGGGCAGTGGGTAGTTAGCCTCTGTCTCTGGCTGTCTGATGTGCGCTTAACTGACCTCAGGTCCTCCTGGGGAAGGTGAGGGTCCAGCCTAGGGCTTCTGGAGCCCCAGGTATCTGGTACAGATAGCATGTCCTCTTCCCGCTGCCCACACACTCATTAGTGGCATCTTGCCCAGCCCTATCTGTGCCACCCACTTCTCTTATCCTCTCTCCCTCCAGTGCCCCCACCGAGGTGCCAAGGGCTTTGCTGTGGGCACCGTGTAAGGGGGCCAGGAATAGGCAGCCCATCGCCAGAGTTGGGAAGAGCTTGCAAAAAGCAGTGCAGACCCTGGGAGTGAAAGGGAGAACTGCTAGCCACCCCAACAACCCAGTGTCCATCGCTGGAGACCCCCACAAGCCAACTGTGCCTTGGAGTGCCCCTGTAGACTCTGGAGAGGACAGGGATGGGGGTCGAAGGTGAGGGAGTGGAGGGAGGCTCCAGACAGTGGGAGCAGATGCCCTGGGGACTATGTGAGTCACTTGAGTTGCTATGTGGATGCAGAAAGGAAGGAGAGAGGATTGTCCCCTCTGGAACTGGTGCCCTGGTGGAGGGCTGCATGTACACACGCGCGCGCGCACAAACACACACACGCGCCCTGTGCTTCTTCCCTCCTCCTTTGCCCTGGGCCAAGGGAGCACTTACAGAGTGGGCTGGGGCAGAGACAGAGGGACAGGGCCTGGGACTGTGGAGAGCACTGGGACGACTTGCTGAGTGACCGCAGGCAAGCCCCTTGGCCTGGCCTGGGCAATATCCACCTACGGGCTCTGTGTAGACCAGAAGGGATAACTCATATAAAAATGTTCTATGAACCATGGTGGGGGGAGACGGGAGCCAGGTCACCCAGGGCATGGCCTGGCCGTCTCCCGTTCCCAGGAATGCAGAGAGGTCCCAGTCCCAGAGCCATTCTCCGCCCCTCCCCTGTACTACCGCCCAGCAACTGCTCTTTTCCCCAGCCCTGCTTGGCGCCAACTGCTCAGCTCCAAGCTCCCCCAGGATCTTCTCCTGCCCTCTGCATTGGGGTCTAGCCACCCTGGGCCCACCCTGTGCACCTTTCCTCTCTGAGGCACCTGGGGACAGAGTGGGGGAACTCCTGCCCATCCCAGGGGGGCTCTAAGCCCTCTGGCTTCTCCACCTCCAGCTGCCTGTCCTAAGGTTGGGATGTGTAGAGCAGTGGGGCCCTGGGAGGGGGAGAAGTCCAGATCATCTGTGCCTACCACCACTTTCCTTTTACAGGCCAGAGCCATTGGGGGAGGGGCTGCTCTCCAACCCCCACCAATACAGAGAGTGGGAGGGCTGCCATCACCCAAAGCAGACTAGGAGTGTGCGGGTCCTGGGCAGCAGGCCTCAGGATCTCTGTTGGAGGTGCGGGGAGGAGGGGCATGGTCTGTGCTGATGGCAGGAACACCAGGGCATCCCCCCTGCTAGTTGTCCCCTACCCCACCCAAAGGACCAGCACTGGGGTGGGCAGAAGGAAGTGCTCGGGTGGCAATGTCCCCCCAGGAGCTCCAGGCCTTCCTGAGTCAGGTGGGCAGATACCTGTGAGGTGTGCACAGGCACACACAGACAGCAAGCATGGTTCTAAGTGTGCCTGCGGTGTGTTTAGGGATGTGTGTCAGGGTATGTGTTTATATGTGCACAAATGTGTTCATGATGCATTTGTGTGTCTGTGTGGATATGTGTACAGGTGCACATAGGGGGTAGAAGGGTGCTGCGTCTATGCACAGCCTGCATGTGTGTGTGTGTGTGCATGTGTGTGTGATGTAGGGGATTGCTGGTTTCTGTCACTGTGGGACCCTGAGCACCCCTCCCCAGCAGCCCACTCCTGCTTCCCCCACTGCGGTTACTGAAAATGACCCATTCCGGGTAAGAGTTAAAACCTGGGAAATCTGTCCAGTGCCCAAGGTCTCTCCTCCTCAGTCCACCACAGAATCCTTTGGCAGCCAGTCCCAGGATCCTAGAGTGGTGAGCATTCAGACTCGGGGGCCAGGAGGAAGGATGCCATCTCTCCCATACATGAATCAGTGTTGGGGTTGGGCATAGGAGGTGGAGGAGGAGGCCTCTGGAGCACCCTGAAAGAGTCTCACTGGGCCCCGCACTGCCCATCCCAGTGCTGACCATCTCCTGTCCTGAACTCTCCCCACAGCCCACCACACTCCCTGCTTCCTCTCATCTCCCGTCTCCCTCTCTTATTCACTGAGATCTTAATTCTTTGGAGGAGCTTGACTAGAGTGACTCAACATCCCCTCAACTCAATCCCTGAGTCCCTGCTATCAGAAACTCGGTTGCCATAATCCAAGGGCCCAAGTGGATTTTCTCCAAAGACTGTGACCTCGAGGCCTGAACTTCTCTTTGGACCTTCTCTTCTCCCCTGTACCGAATCTCCTCAGCCTCCAGAGGGACTAGAGACAGATCAGCCATGTGGGCGGTCAACCGTGCCTATGTGATGGAGCCCCAATAAAACTCTGGACACCAGGCTCAGGTGAGCTTCCCTAGTTGGCAATACTCATGCATATTGTCATGTATCATTGCTGCGAGAGTAACGCTTTCCACAATGCCATGTTTGGAACTTTCCTGGCCTCTGCCGTATGTGCCTATTCCTGTGGCTGACCTTAAGCTGTATCCTTTAGCTGTAATAAACAATAACCATGAGTAAAACAGCTTGCCTGTATTCTGTCAATCCTTCTAGCAAATTATCAACACTAACGGTGGTCTTAGGGACCCCTGAATTTGCAATTGGTGTCAGAAGTGAAGGTGGCCTTCTGAGCTGTCCCTCTACCTTCATAGAATAACACATGCTACATGGATGAACATGGATGAACCTTGAAAACATATGTTAAGTGAAAGAAGCCAATCACAAAAGACCACGTATTAGATGATCCTATTTATGTGGAATGTCTGGAATAGACAAATCTCTACAGAAAGTAGGTTGCTGGCCGGCCCCGTGGCTTAGCGGTTAAGTGCGCGCGCTCTGATGCTGGCGGCCCGGGTTCGGATCCCGGGAGCGCCCCGAGGCACCACTTCTCCGTCCAACGCGAGGCCGAGTCCCACATACAGCAACTAGAAGGATGTGAACCTATGACGTACAACTATCTACTGGGGCTTTGGGGGGAAAAAACTGAATAAATAAAATCTTTAAAAAAAAAAAAAAAGAAAGTAGGTTGCTGGTCACCTAGGGCTGGGAGGAATGCAAGGGAGTATGAGGTTTCTTTTTGGAGTAATGAAAATGTTCCAAAATTGATTGTGGTGATGGGTGCACAGCTCTGTGACTATACCAGGAACCACTGAATTGTACACTGTAAATGAGTGAATTGTATGGTATATGAATTATATCTCAATAAAACTTTTACCCCCCCCAAAAAAGGGGTGTGTGTGTGGAATTAAAGCTCCTGGAAAGGGGACTATGTTGTGCTCACTGCTGTGTCCCCAGTGCCTGCAACCCCTCCAGGAGGACAGGTGCTCAATAAATACCGTGCAATAAATACATCAAGTGACTCCTGGGACTGAAGCAGGCTCCTGAGGACTCCCCGTCTGGAATTTTCCACACCACTCCCTTTTAAAAACAAGAGTTGTTTTTAGAGTATCCACAC